CCGTGGTGCACTAGATAAACGTGTGTACATAAATATATTCAGGTAACCTAGACAACCTAGATGGTGTTGTCAAACATACGGAATGTTACTAAAAAAAGTTACAAAACGTACGGATTTATATATTTACGAGCTGTTTATATTTACGTATGGCATAATACAAGCTAAGAGGGAGAAGAAGACTAAATGCGTCTAAGGAAAGCGGATTTTTTATAATAATATATATAATCACCTTGAACAGACAAATTTTCGGAAAGGACGACCTGTTGCGCAAGCATGCATTTCAATTCATTTTTACCATGTTCACTTCTTAGTTCTAAATAAGTCGTGTTGGACTTAAAGCGTGCTACGGCCCGCACGGCCGTAGACAGAGATTGGTCCACAGTGACTGCATAAGTTAGTTTATCATGTTGGTATCCAAACATGCCTTCATAACTTTTGATTAAACTTGATGCAGGTATTCCTTTTTCGGCTACTACTGTACACTGGCCACCGAACAACCAAGGGCTAAATAATCGCCTCGTGAAACTAATATTTACTAGGTTCTTTTGATTCTTTGCTTTGATGGCGGACATTTGCAAGCTAACATTTTTGTTAGCCCACTCAATAGATCCGGTAACATTGTTATTCGACCGATTTCCCAAGGCTTGGCCAGTGATGTGGGCCCACAAGTTGCCCATCACGTTGTAGGTTAAAGAGTAGGAAATATCCTTATTTAAGTTTGTATCGACGTATGTGCATAGTTTTGGGTAGGGCACCATAGAATTAAAACCACTAAAGAACACCAGTAAACATTTATTTATAACCAATTAATTATGATATGCGTTGATTAGCTAAAATAAATGTCATATTTAATCGTTGAAAAAAAAAAGTATATTTTTTAATTTTTGACTCAAATATTTATTTAGCTGTTTTTATAGAATTACCTATATTGTTTGTAATACGGCACGATATAGCTGAATTAAAAAAAAAATATATATATACAGGTTATTTTACCTTTTTTTTTAGTAAATTTTAGTTTTAATATATTTAGCTACCTATAATCAACATATAATTTAGAATATTTATGAATCATGAATCATGACCGATATTTTTCCATTATGTTTTCTAAATGAACATTTTTCAAATTTAAATTTTGATTTGATTTAAACAATAAAAGTAGTCCGAGCAACTTGGGAAGGAACATCTAGTATTAAATAGATAGACACAATTCGATCATATTGTACCTATCACAAAACCACACCGTTCATTAAATCAACATTATGAATTTTACATTAGGTATTTTAGTGATCATCACCGAATAGAGTCGATCAAATAAAAATATTATTTTAGGCAAATCTTACTTTTTTGAAGTGATTGCTTTCATTCTGGAATATGCGAAACCATATCCGAACCTATTTTCAAATTGGTTTATTGAACTTTGTGACACTCTGTAAGTGAAAAAGTTCTTAAAAACATTCTTTCCTGGCCTCCATGAGTTTTCAATCAAAGTACTCCCGGTGAGTCCTGATATAATACTTGGATTTGTATTCATAAACACCGACCTGGAGTAAGTTGGGATATTTTCTGAAAATTAAACGAAAAGTTCAAATAGTTGTTAATAATCCAAATAAAGTTTATTTGACAGTTATATCACGCCTTCGAACGCTAAAATAATTCTAGGAAAATGTTAAGTACCTATCTATGATTACGTCTTATTCAACGATAATACAGAAAAAAAAAATCGAATTTAATAAAAGCCGATTTACGGCGTTGATTTAAATATGCCCCGTCGATTGTTCCGACTTATTTTTATTTGTTCCGAATTTTTCGCATTGCGAAGAAAATAACTTGGAATTTAAAAAGAATAAATAATCTTCTCTAAGCATTGAATATGTTCATAACATAAAAGAAAGCCGCTGTGAGTCGTATGGTCGAAAGCAAGTAAATCTTTTAAATACTTTGTAAAAAATAAAATAAATAAAACACATATTCATATCGTTGTCATTATTATTAATCGTAAACCTATATTTATTTTTCCAGGTTTTCAAACAAAGTACGAAAATTCGATTACACTAATCAACGCACTAACAATAAAATTATGAAACATACGAGAAATCACATTACGGGAAGAATAATGGTAGTAGTTATAAAATACGGTCTAAACTATCCAAAAACACGCCGCTTTTTCGAATTCAATAGCCTTTAAATACTATTATATACTTCAATCGATAAATGACGGTATACTAGTCATATCGGTATTGATCTAAACCGATAAATATGTATCATATGAATGAATGGAAGCTAATATAATTTACGTGTAAGTACT